CTGCGAATATGAGGTTAGAATGACATAGATATATATATATATATTATATATTATATATATAGTACACTTATATATATTTATATGTATTTTCCTGTTGTTACAGATGTTAAAGTATCTTGATACTTCAGGGTAGAGCTAATTATAATCTTTTACTTTGATTTTTTTTTTTGGTAATATTTCCTGAGTCCCACTGATACTTGTACAATGTTTTAGGATAATCTCAAGTTTATTTGATTAATAATGACTTGTTCTCTGTAATTTAATGTACAAATCATGAAATGCTCTATTTTGTTATATTTAGGATCTTAAAACTTCAAGGGGTTTATTTGAAGAAATGAAGAAAACAGCAAACAACAATGCTGTACAGGTAAATAGCTTATTCCCAAGAAACTACATTCAATTAAATTGCTATTTTATTTTAGGGTAGCTATGATGCTGTTATATATGCTGTAAGAATTCTCTTTAAAATAATAATAGACTAATGCAAACAGAGCATTTTGGAGTATTTAATAGGTTGCTCTACTAACAAAAGAGTTTCTAGAAATGGTGTTAAGAAAGAAAAATATTTTTAAATCCAAAGAGCTGGAAAAATTAATCCATTTTGATTAGTTGTTTTCAGAGTTTGGTTTAATTTCTTTCCAGTGACCCTCTGAAAACGTTTTTTTAAAAAGGTGAAAAAATAGAGCAGAATCTTTATTGTGTTCAGTGAGGACAATTCCTGTACTCTGCAGTCAAAATCTACCTTCGGTTTTCTTTCCTTCAGTTAGAAAATAAAATGTGCTTTTAAGATAAAATGCGTTTTAAGATTTTTGACGCGCTACTTCTAATTTCAAATTTCTGTGATACTGTTTGAATTTTATCTTTTGCTATCCCTTGTGTTTTCAGTAGAAACAAACAATAATCACATTTTTTCTCCTCCTAGGTGATTGAATGGGTATTAGAAAAGACAAGCAAGAAATAACACAGAATCTTTCTCTTTGGACAGTTGTAAATTGGCCAGAGCTGTTATTTCCTATTTGTTTCTTTAGTTTGAAAATTATGAGCAAATTTCAAACTTTATTCATAGAATAGATGTTTTGTCTCTAAATAATTTTATAAATATCCAATATTTATATAGTTTTGAGGATGCTCAATTAATGTGCTTTTTTAATTGTATACTTATTTTACAGTTTCACTATATTTTAATTTTTAAGGTTAATATTTTAAAATATGTTTTTAAATCTTTACTCTTGGTTATTTATTTCAATAAATAGAAAAAGTTACTTCTTTTCTTCTTGGTCAATGTCTTTGTTGTTAGGCCAGATAAAATGACTGAATCTCAAGTAAGACATTGCCAGTGGCTTTTCTCATGTGACCCAACAGCATACTTTATTGGGAAGTTCCTGGTTTAGAAAACATTTACGCAGGTAGCTGTCTTCCCTTAGCCCTGCCTCGGGGCCAGCGCTGTTGGAGCTATTCATGTTTATTTGGGATTAGAAATGAAGAAAGGGCAGAAATTGTGAAAATAAGATATAGTGAAAATGACTAAGTAGAGACTCCCAGAAAACAAGATCTTTTCTCATGGTAGAAAATCTGGAAAATGCAGAAAATACAAAACAGAGTAAAAAAAATTCCAACATTGCCCCACTATCTCTAGGTAAACACTGGTAATATTTTTAAAATATATATGTTATTATTTTTAAAATATTTTAAAAGTTGGGGCCATACATGTGTGTATATGTGTGTATGTGTGTTCATCTGTGTCTGTGTATTAATTTAATAGCCTGTTTTCCACTTAACAACATATCATGAAATATATATATATATATATA